AATAGTGGAAGTGAATTAAAACCTAATATCCAAAGAAGTATACAAATAAAGCTTGGTCACAGCTGTAGAAAAATGCATAGGGATGCAGAAAAGCCCTGTATTGTAATTTGTGTTTTTGTCCTGGTGGGAACCCATTTAATTAGCGCAAGAAGGTATTGAATTTTAGCTTATCATGCATATTGTTTTCCAGCTGTACTGAAGATTGCCAAGTTTCTAATGGCCTGACCCTGTTCTGTAAATCAGCAGTAAATTGCGGCATTTACACTGAGCAAAGGCAAAGGGCTCATTCTGTTGGGTTTGTGCTGTCACAGGAACCTGGGCTAAGGGATTAATGGGCTGATGTTAAACATCTGTCCCCTGTCTTTGGGGGGACGTAAACACACAAAGAGGGAATCTAATGCCATCTACTAAAAGATCTTCAATGAGAGGAAGCCCTTGCTAACATTTCCATCCAGTGGCACCTTAGACACATTGCCTCTTTATGCTAAAACCCCACAGCACTAAGGGCCCTATAAATAGTCTCCATGTGACAGCTCAGAGAAGAAGAGAGGTTTCCTCCAGACATTAGTTGTGCTAAAAGATTCATCATTACCTGCAGTCATGAAATAAATCTTTGATACTTACAACTATAATATCCATGCTCTACGTTTTATTGCAGATATAGGTAGACAGTCATTATTTCTGACACTTTCTCAGCATTACAAGGAGTACTCTAGGGGAAAAACTAGTGTACAGTGTTACAGAAATAGATTGATATAACCACATGGAAACCAGTTACTTTAGTGAGCCATTGTAACCAATCCAATATTCCCTTAATGATATTAAACAGTCACATAGATTCCAAATTCAGTGTAAGACTCCTATCTTAAAACAACCCTAGTTATCTACAAATTAAATTGCCGAGAAGGAAATTTATTTTCTTTACATCATATGGTAGTTTACAAGAAATACATTCCTGAATGAAAACGGACTTTTTTAACATTAAAGTTTATTATTATTTAGGGGACATTAAAACAAGACAATGGTCAACAGCAATCACTTTATAGCACTTGTGGGACATTAGAAATCAGTATATTGAGAAGCTTCCTGTTAAAGAGGACTTGGAGTGGCTACCGTACGGCAGATCCTGGGGTCGCATCAATCACAATAGCATCATGTATCATACAGAAGAGGTGTTAAAATTGCCTTTGGCCATGAGCTATTTAAGACAGAGGCTCTTACATGCTGTTTTGGAGCCCAACAAGTGGGTTACGGAATCCTGTAGGAGTCCCTCTTTACCCATAAGTCACTGCTTTCAGCAATGGTGGTCTACTTTTCAAAATCGCTCAAGTAATAGCAAGGGCAGGATTTCAATGGCCCGTTCTTGTTTCACCATAGAAACCATCTTGTTTCACCCTTGTTCTCTCACTTTCAATGTTAGGAGGCCAGAGGCTAATATGATGGCATGTCACCACTCTGTGGGGAGAGGATTTGCCCACTCGGGAGTTCTGTGGTTGAAGTGGCATGATTGGGACAAGCACGGTGACATACTCCTAGGACAAGAATCTCATGGAACCCTCCGGTCACTAAGCTGGCACGTGTTCTATCGTGGCAGCTCTGGAAGGCCATCTGGTATACCTGGGGACCACTTGCTTTCACAGCCCAGTGCCTGGATCACTGAATTCAAGGAGTTAGTAGCCACTTTTGAAAAGAGTTGTCAATTCCAAAAGAATCTTCGTGTTTGCATATTTAAAGCCAAGATAATTATTGGTAGTCTCTGCATAACAAATGTAATTTCAATTAGGCTCTTTTTCTAAATTAAAAACTATTGCTTGTGTGTAATGAGTATTCCTGTGTTTGTTTTTTTTTTAGTGCATTTTTAATGTTTTTATTCTAGGAACATTAAGAGCATTGAACAAAAGATGGTCCAATTACTATATAATGTTAACAAATATGCCGAATCCTTCATTTCTGTGGGAGCAAGTGAAGCTAGTGGAACAAGATGGTGCAAGCTGATTATCACAGAGATTTTCAACACCAAACTAGACGGGACAATATTTGAAATTGTATGGCTACAGAATAGATTTTTTTGGCTTTAAAGAAAAGTTGCAAGATGTTGTCAAGCACTTCTTCACAGCGTAATATCTCTAACGTTTGAAAATGTTGCGTGTTCCTTGTGTTGAAATGCTGTTGAAACATCTAACTGTACATAGGCAATTGAATAAAATTAAAAGCTGCTACGGCCTTCTCATGGTGTATAGAAAGATTGATTGCAAAAAAAAAAAAGAATTTTTTTTTTTTTTTTTTTTTTTTTGGTCACTGGACATCGGATCAGTTTGGTATTCTCAGGCAGATTCCAAAAAGATGGAATCGAATAGAAGACTCAAACCAGAGATCCTCACTCCCTTGCCTTGCTAACTGGTTTCTGTGGCTTTCACAGCCTGGAAACGTATCGCCAGCACGGAGTGTAGCAGTTGGGGCTGTCGTTGTTGTTGATGAAGAGAAGTTTATTTTTGGTGCTGGCATCATGGATAAAACAGCCTGGGAAAAGTGAATATCTGAATGTATTCTCTCCATCTGACATCGAATCGCTTGCCTCAGGCCTCTCCACAGTTCTGTTTCTTTCTATGTGGAGAGAAGCAATTAAAAAAATCACCTGCTAAAACAGATCTTGGATGCTTGTTTCCTATTTTCTAAAAGCAGGTTGGCTATTTTGCCCTTGAGCCTTAAGAAATGTTGCTGATTGGCTGTTTTGTTATTTTTTAATAATATATGGCATGTATCCAAGTAAGCATTCCGATGACCTCGACAATAAAATGTGCTTCTTGGCTGCAAGGTCTGTGGGGGGATGGCAGGCTGCCGGCCACTCATACATCATTTACAGGCGGCTGTTTCAGCCAGGCCGGTGTTAGTTATTGTAAATGAGTGACAGTCCCTATAACTCACCTGTAAGCCTTACTCCACTGGCCTAGGGCTTCCTGGATCCCCCGGCCCCTGCACCCCACGTGCTCCTCCTCCTCGAAGACCCGCACGCACAGACCCTCCCGCGCTCGCTGCTGCCCGCCCGGACTCATCAGGACGTGGAGCTACCTTGTATGTGATGGACGATAATTAGGTTTCAACTGCCTTCTGATGCAGAAATACACACTATTAGAGCACAGCCAATTCGGCTCCTGCAATCTTGCCTCTGAAAGGGTATTGATTCACTCTTTCACATTTTTAAAAGGTCATGGCAATAATTCCATCTGAACTGTGCTAAGTGAAAATAGTTTGTAAAAATAATATGGTTGCTTCTTCGTTCCATTGTAATTGAAAGCCACAATGGCTTGTTTTTTTAGTATATTTTAATTACATGTGTCTCTTTTTCCCATCTCACCCTGATGAAGTGTTTGTAAAGTTATAAAGCAGGCAGCCCTCTGTGTTATAATGTCTTCTGGCTTTTTGGCCAAGAGGACTTTTTTGTTTTCCCACTGTGTAAGGTGAGGCCTCACCGAACACTGGGGTCACGCTGCCTTCTTAATTGAAGAACTAAGAAGAGAAGATGTGCACCTTTTCCCTGGCACTGTCATCTGCCTGCCTGTTTTAATAAGATTAGAATACATTGGCTTTGGTGAACAGGATGCTGAATTTGCTTACTTTCTGCAAATTTCTCTTGTAAGCTAGACAGTCCTTTCTGGGTTGACTGAAAAATATTATTCTCAATAGTTATCAGTCCATAATAAAACGAGTTTATTACAAGAGCGCAGAGCTCCTGTGGTGTAGCCACCCTGGCAGGTGACAGGAAACTCTGAATGCTCTAGCATAAATTACTAGAAAACTCAGGCTCCAGTTTGAGACTTTCCCCTACATCTTCAGCTTTTCCGAGGTGAAAGAATTGTCAAGTGCTTGAATCGCACGTTTTGTCAAAGTGGCCAATCCGATTTTATGCTCTGAGCCACTCTGCGGATGTCTCCCCTTTGCGGGGGTGAGGGGGTGGGGGCGGGGGAAGGAAGCCTCAGCTGTTTCTAATCTCAAAAATGAGCCCGTCATTGTACTTGCAAACTAAGGGGCATATTCTTATCCTGAGCATGGGGATTTACGCACATAATTACCATTAATGCTAATGGCATTTATGTCTGTACGGCCCCACACATCAAGATGAGAATATATTTCCATGTCTTCACGCTGTGAAAGTCCATTTAATATCATTCATTTTACAACTTATTTTTTAAGATGCTGTCCATATTCTGTCATGGCGTACATACGCCTAGTTAAAAGTAAATGTGGGGAATATTGGAAAGAGATGGGATAGCTGCACTTGTTCATGTAGATGAAATATTGTGGAACTCAAATCCATTCAAACTCTTTAAACACAATACTCTATTCGGCCTTGAAACTGCTAGCACACTTTTCGTAGTGTTATAAATTTGTCAGCCTAATGGGACATTTTGTAGATGTTTTCCTTTTTAAGTGCTTTAGCAGGAGTAGGTATTCCATTGATCCAAAAATTCAGCTCAGTGTTTCGTTTCTTAGAGATGGGAATCATACATTTAATGTCTTCTCAGAGATTAAGTGGTGGATGGTGCCCTTCATCTCTTCAAGGAAAGAGAATTCACTGCCCGCCGAACTCTGCTCTCTTCTAGCCTCCAGGAACATCTCCGGAGCAGGGCAGGGTTTGCAGCTGGAGACATCAGTGGTCATCAGAATTTGAGGTGGTTCTATCTCTTCATTGATTAGACAATTGTCTTTATACATCAGGCCCAAGAGCCTATTGAAGGGCGTCTTCACGTCTATGCTGGCCAAGCAAATTCAAATCCAGGTCTTGATTTATCTGTCCTGGGACCTGGACCATTACGAAAATGATGGATCTATCTCACCTGTCCAATCTCTGAAACCTTGACTTTTGAGTCAACCCAAAGCAAAGGGTTCCGTGTTTAAAGCATAGACATATGGGGACAGGCGTGCTGAAGTCCTTCCTGAGAGGTCTCTCTGGGTCTCCTCCGTAGGAATAAAGTCTCCTGGTTGGGGGGGGTGGGGAGCGGGGGGAAGAGAAGAGCTTCCCAACACATCTCAGAGGGCTGCACAAAGGAGCGAGGTCACTTCTGAATGAGCTAAAGATGGCCAATCGTGGCTGGCGGGGTGGCCTCAGGCACCCCACTGGACTTCTCCGAGCCTGTTTCCTCATTGATAACATTGAGCAGGATGAATACTGAGTGATTTACTGCCTTAAAATTGTACAACAAGTGCCATGTTGTATTTGGCTTTTGTAAAGATTAAGACTATGGTGAATTACAATTATTAACCAAAAGGAGACACTGGTTTCCAAGGGATTATGCAAAGAAGGAGGTGAGATTCCAGAATATCAGATGTCTTGACACAGTACTCTGGAGCTGCAGGTAAAATACAGTCCCAGAGCCTATTCCCAAGTCCATCCCCCGTCCTGATTTCTGGTTGCTTTGCATTCAACTTGGTCACTTGACTCTTAACAGCCGGGTTCCCACAGCTGAGCTGTCAGTGGCACTGACATTAAACCTCAAGGGGCAGAAGGCAGTGGGCACTTGCCGAGGAGACAGTCCAAACACTAACATCTTCCCTAGCATGACCAAACTGGCTGGCACGTATTGCTTTTCCTTACCAATCACCGACATTCTCTGGGCATTTTCCTCTGAAGGTCACCATCTCTTCCGTTATACTGATCACAGAACTCTTGTTAGCCTCACAGACATCGCCCTCCAAATTCCCTGGATTTTAGTAATGTTTTGGCTTTTTCTCTATGCCCTAGAGCTCTGCTTTGTCCATCCACAGCCCCTCCACTCTACACTATGACAGGTAGTTTTGAAAAATTACATTACTCCGCGCTATTATGTTATTCTCGTGTTTAGAAATAGGGCTTCTTTAGCAGTAGTTCAACGCTTATCAGGCACCTGCTATGTCTCAGCATTGAGCAAGGGCCTGGGCACCAGAGTTAAATGAAACTCTGTCCATGACTTCTAGGGCTCCATGAGTTCACCTCTGCATAGAATTTAACAACCTCAAAAGACTTCCGCATACATTTTCTCGTACGCTTTGCACAATTTGGAGAGATAAGCCTAGCGGATGATATGTTATTTCCATTTCAGGGGAAAATGGAGACAGAAAGATGAGCTGGGTTGCTCAAGGTCCCCTGGATTAGAAGTATCGAGTGCTGCCCCAGAGTCAAGTCTCCCAGCCCCGTCTCTCCTGCTCTTCCCCGGCCACCCCGCGCCTACTCAGAGCCACAAGTCAAAACGGAGGTGTCCCTGGGAACCCTTCTCGGGTGTTCCGTGTTTCTGAGATGCCTCCAACGCGGTGAGTGAAAGACTAAAACAGGGGCCATCGTGCTTCGGAAAGGCTGGCAAGGGGTCAGAGCCAAGTTCATGCCTTGCCTGTTCAATTCGCACCTCCCTCAGGCGCCGAGGCAACAATAGTCCCTTTACTTCCAAACTTTCCAGACTCACAGTTGTGTACTTTTTTGAACTCACACCGTTGAAAAATATCAAGGTCAGAACATGATTGAAGAACCTTCTTCCTCTCTTTTAAGTTGCCACGCTTATATGATATTGTTTTCCACTAAAGAAGGTTCTCTTAAAAATGAGGTTGAGATCCCTAAAGAAATTGCTTCAATCAGCAGCAGGGCTTAATGACTGTTAATGGGAAGTGGAGATAGGATAGTAAGTGTTACTTTGATTAATAAGAGAACTGCAGAGAATTTAAATTGTGCCACTGATGGATTATTTTCTTCAAGCTTGATAAGCACTTCTCATTTGTTCTTAAATTTGGTCAATACTGTTAAAGGCAGCAAAATGAAGTATAATTAATTCTATTATTGCTGCTCAGACCAAGAGTTACTAAGAAACAGATTATGATGCAGGCGACAGCAGAAATCACGGTGTTGACAGTGTGATGCTTTGAATACCTGTCATTACTTGTTAGCCTAAAAGAATGAAAAAAATACTTCTGGATCCTGATTTTGAGATACCTAACACAGAGTTTTCATCTGCGCATGTCCCACTGACCTCACACAGGGAGTAACCATACAATGACCAACTGACACTAGAATGATCCTGCTTTGGAAAGACAGAGAGTAACTAAAAGATTGGGATCATATATCAATTAAAACATTAAGAGTGGGATGCTCTAATCACTAAGAAAATGAGATATTGATTTGATGTTGAAAGAAAGCTTTCCATATTTCCTCTTTTTCAAAGATTCTGCCCCATATTATGAACCATGCTTTTCTTTACCTTTGCTATGCATTTTATTCAGGACAGTGGATAAACAGATGGCATTCAGAGAAATGATATCATTTTTGTAGACAATTGTGTTTACTCGGAGTACTAATGCCAAGGATGGCAAGGAATTGGACTCACATCTTCCCTTTTTTTCTGAAAACAGCAGGCTGCACCAGTGTTTCCTGAATAGCTTTTTCTTCTCTATCACTATTAGTTTATTTAAGGGCCACAAATGACTTTGTGAGTCATGTTAAAAGTCGTGCCTGAATGTGGATTGATATGTACTCAGTCTTACCTACTGGGTTTCAGCTTCTTATTCAGTGATTCTTATTCTTTGTAGTTCATTCTCCAGGGCATCTCTGGTTCATTCAAGGAGTGCTTCCAAGCCTTAAAATGAAAATAAATTAATTCCACTTCATGTTTTTTTAAAGGAAATAAGCGATGTGTCAGTCCGGTTTCACAGAAGCTACCAAATAACCGCAGGTTTTTACGGCTCCAGAAAGACTGCAGATCAGACTCCCACTGAACATGCGTCCTTCTGTTCACCATGTCTGTTTCCACATCTTGTGCTTCTTCCAAAGTGTGTAAAGTCACTGGGCGAGTAATCTTGGGTTATTATAAAACCTAAGGGTGGTGGGCTCATAGTGCAGTTATAAAGTTTCCCTGAAGTTCTAATTCCGTTATTAAAAATGTAAACCTTATCGGGCGCCTGGATGGCTCAGTCGGTTAAGTGACTGCCTTCGGCTCGGGTCATGATCCTGGAGTCCCGGGATCGAGTTCCGCGTCGGGCTCTCTGCTCGGCGGGGAGTCTGCTTCTCCCTCTGACCCTCTTCCCTCTCGTGCTCCCTATCTCTCATTCTCTCTCTCTCAAACAAATAAAATCTTTAAAAAAATGTAAACCTTATCTATTATGAATCGAGGACTAATTGTCTTGCCCAGATGTCCCCTAAACATAATTTCTAAAGATGGGAAAATTATAGGAAGTGCCTTTTAGACCGGAATGTGAAAGTCAAGCTCTTCTAGAATTCATTGGCCGGAGAGCTTATTTTTGGAGATAGAGCACATCTGAGAAAGAGCCAGAGCCAGCCGCTGCCAGAAGCCCAGGTCCTGGAGGTATTTCTGCCTCTGCTAAGCACTGGATAACCTTGGATGAGTGAGTCTCTCAATCCCTGTGGGACTAGGTTCTCTCCTCTGTAAGGTGAAGGGTTGGCCCAACTGATCTCCTACATCCTTTCATCCTGGAAAATGCTGGTCTTTGAGTAAAGCTCAAGCATAGGATGCTTACACGGTCTTTTTAAAGCTGTTGGCTCAAAATGACGTGGTCTGGGCAGATACTAGAAACACCCACAGTGCTTCAAGCTCACGATCTTCTAGGGTGGGTAATTCACTCCGCAAATGAAAGCGCCGCCCCCCCCCCCCCCCCCCCCCGCCGCCCCATACCAGGTCCTATGCTCTGTGCTAAAGACAGAATGGTGGGTCTGCCTGGTGTGTCTCTGCCTTTGAGGCACTTACATGCTAGTGGGGGAGGCAGGCCATGGCAAGGGTACAAACCCTCCAGTAAGTAGGGTCCTTTTCCCATAAGTGTGTTGAAGACACGCAAACCAGAAAATGTTTGCGTAATGAAACGGGGTCAGAGATGGCTCTCTGGCAGGGGGAAACCAAGAGTGAGAAAACTGAGCACCGGAGGGAGGGTAAGTGGAAACATGGGAGGGGTGATTCAGCCTGCTTGCCTGCATGCTTAAGGCAGAAGGAAGCAAGGTACTCATTTGCCTTGTCTCATTGCCTTGTCTGAGCGTTTCTTTCTATTATGTATACTTGCAAAGTGCTCTTGTTAATTCAGGAAACAAACAAGCAATGGAAAGATTGTTTCCATTGCTTTTTATCCAGAGCTTCTCACCTTTAGCAACTCAAGTACTTTTGACTTTGGCTTTCCAGATTGCTCCAGACAATTCAAGTTTAAAAACTTCAGGCTGGGTTATTTCCATTCATACTGTATCTCTGTGTTTGCCCATAGAGTCTGGTGCAACTTACGACTTTAGAATTACTGTATAATGCTCAGAGGTGTGAAACGCCATTTCGAGTAATGCCTTCCTTCAGTTAATATAGATAAATATTGATGGCAGGCAGCAGTAAAACAAGTCATTAAATTCTTCACTGCAAGTGTGTCCCACACATTGCTGGAAGCTACAGAAATCACACCAGGCTCTGAGAGAACCACTGCATATGATTAGAGAGTGCTCACATCCCTGGCCTCCTCCTTCCGAACTGGAAAACAAGGGAGTGTGGGTGAGGCACGGCACCGACGTGGGAGAGCAGGGAGTGGGGTCCGAATTACGCTGCGGGTCTATTCTAGCCGCCCTTTCTTCTGCTACCACCCTAATGAATTCCTGGGTGAGCCAGAAACCATTGAAAAATGGCAATCGGTGGCAAATGGGAGCTCTGGTGCTCTGAAAACAAAGAAACTTTAAATCTAAACTGGTAACCCTATAAAAGCAGCTCAAGATTTGGAGGGGCAGTGAAACCCCCTCCTCCGCTGCTGTTTCCATTATTTGACTTCAGCGTCTTTGCGGCGACGCGGAACTTGGCTTGGGTCACCTCGAGGCGTGGAGGGGCTGGCTTCAAGGGCCAGATAACATGTCTGTTGCTTGAGTCCCCAGGATGAAAAATGAAGGAAGCGCTTCCTCATTTTATAACACCATCCTTAAGGGTTCCAGCCTGGTATAGATTTTGAAGCTCCACAGTGTGGAGTATCCTTTCTTCAAGGTGTTTTTAATGGGCTCTGGGCTGTCAAAGACACCGCTCTGATAATGAGGCTGAACCCCTGTGAGGAGAAAGCTCTGTAATGAGGGAGGAGGACAATTTGTTACAGTTATGTGGTTACTTGGCCATAATATCTTTTTGAGGTTTATTAAATCATATAAAATTTCAATTTACACTGTAATATTCTCTAAAAGATGGAGCACACAGAAGTAATAAGTATGACAACATTTCTTTCATTTATGAATCGTATTGTTGATGGTGTTAACACTGCCGCATCCAGCAGCAAGATTATTTATGTCGGGACAGTAATTTTCTATCTCCAATTTAATTTTGTAAAAGTTAATTACAAATTAGAATAAAATGAATGCAGTTATGGAAGGCAGCGAAATGCTGAGATAGGATGTTGTTGGGGGAAAATATTTACTTAGGCTGTTCCTTGTGGAGATCATTGTTATGGAAACCCAGTGGCTAACATGGCTTTTGGCACCCCACGCCACCCATTTGTTGGATGAAGAAAGGCCCTTGGTTTTATCTACTAGGAAGGAAATGGACTGTCCTGGAAGGAACACAGGGAAACTCAGCAGTCATTCTAGGGAACCCCCTTCCCCTCCCAGTCCAGCGGCTGGGGTCCAGACGGGTTACAGTCACCCAGCAAGGTCGTGACAGAATGAGGACTAGAATTCAGGTCTCCTGACACCAAGTCAGACGACCTTCACTTCACTTGAAGGTGGGTGGATACTTGTGTCTGCCTTAAAAAGTGGCGAAGGGCGGTTAGAGGAGGCACAAAATGTCTCCAAATTTCACCACAAGCCAAGAAGTGCCTAGGGAGAAGGCAAATTGAAACAGTCGGGGGCCTTCTCTTCCCCTCTCCTGTTGAACTCTTTTCCCATGTTACCATTGGTAACAACCAAGTTCCTCCTCCTATAGACTTTCTACCAAAGCAGAAGAGCCAGATACAACGGCGCAGGCACGGGGCGCCTGGGTGGCTCAGTTGGTTAAG